GTGCAGTGTTTTTCTTATCTAAACTGTACACAGTGTTTTTCTTATCTAAACTGTATAGTCTTTCTTATCTAAACTGTATAGTCTTTCTTATCTAAACTGTATAGTCTTTCTTATCTAAACTGTATAGTCTTTCTTATCTAAACTGTATAGTGTTTTTCTTATTTTGTTGTATACATTGTCTTTTTATCTAAACTGTATAGTGTTTTTCTTATTTTGTTGTATACATTGTCTTTTTATCTAAACTGTATAGTGTTTTTCTTATTTTGTTGTATACAGTGTCTTTTTTTATCTAAACTGTATGCAGTGTCTTTCTTATCTAAACTGTATAGTCTTTCTTATCTAAACTGTATAGTCTATCTTATCTAAACTGTATACCATGTCTTAATTATTCAAACTGTATATAGTGTCTATCTTATCTAAACTCTATATAGTGTTTTTTCTTATCAAAACTGTATACAGTGTTTTTCTTATCTAAACTGTATAGTGTCTTTCTTATCTAAACTGTATACAGTATCTCTCTTATCTAAACTGAACACAGTGTTTATCTTTTCTAATCTGTATACAGTTTTTCTTATCTAAACTGTATACAGTGTTTTCCTGATCAAAACAGTATACAGTGTTTTTCTTATCTAAACCGTATACTGTGTCTTTCTTATCAAAACCGTATACAGTGTTTTTCTTAACTAGACCGTAGACAGTGTTTTTTCTTATCTAAACTGTCTACAATGTCTTTCTTATCTAAACTGTCTACAATGTCTTTCTTATCTAAACTGTATACGTCTTTCTTATCTAAACTGTATACGTCTTTCTTATCTAAACTGTATAAAATGTCTTTCTTATCTAAACTGTATAAAATGTCTTTCTTATCTAAACTGTCTACAATGTCTTTCTTATCTAAACTGTCTACAATGTCTTTCTTATCTAAACTGTCTACAATGTCTTTCTTATCTAAACTGTATACAATGTCTTTCTTATCTAAACTGTATACGTCTTTCTTATCTAAACTGTATATAATGTCTTTCTTATCTAAACTGTATATAATGTCTTTCTTATCTAAACTGTATATAATGTCTTTCTTATCTAAACTGTATACGTCTTTCTTATCTAAACTGTATATAATGTCTTTCTTATCTAAACTGTATACGTCTTTCTTATCTAAACTGTATAAAATGTCTTGCTTATCTAAACTGTATACAATGTCTTTCTTATCTAAACTGTACACAATGTCTTGCTTATCAAGACGCTTATCCATCTCTTGACAAAAACAGTATAACACGCAAATTAATACACAAGGAGCTATGAAATGTGTAACAACAATAACAGCATACATAAGTATAAATATGTAATCAGAAATATTACACACACAAAAAATGAACACTATAGAATGATTGTTCATTACATACATAATCAATTGGCTTTGATTTATAGGAATAGTGAATATAATGAGAGGCATTGTTGTAGTCGTGTCGTTTGCCGGGTATTCATATTTATCAACTCTGTCAGTGTTTCATTCGAAGAGCTTCTTCATGAGAGGCGAGGAACCAACAATCTGCATACAAATATGCCAGATCTGTAAAACGTATGTACACGCAAAACTCAAAATCTAGAACACAAAATCCAGATGTAGACGAACAACCAGAACTTTCCCTCGGAGTTAAGAGTCGGTGAACACAAAAATAAAGACGAAGATCAGCTCTTAAATAATGTAAGGAACGTTTCCATTTTTGTGTTTGAAAGTATGTTGTTTTGATTGTAAATGCAATGGAAATTCTATCCATTTCTGACACCCATTTAAAATAAAAAATCATCATCATCATGTCCCTCATAATCTTCATTATCATCATCACCCTTATCATATCTCTGTGCCGTTCAAAAGCCACAAAGGGCTTGCAATCTACTTCCTAACTCCCAGCTATCCTGTGCAAATTCTTAGTGAATGGAATCCAGTTAAGCACGTTTGACACCTTTCATCAACTTTCGTCTGACGATTTTTCTTTTTCCTCAGGCGATTTGTTTCCGATTTTAGAGCATGTTTATTGATTCTCTGACCGTTTCGTCTCTTGATGTGCCAATTATTTTGCCATCTTCTTTGTACTGAACTGTGGGTAATTGTGGTTATCTGAGTCTGAACTATTCAAAAACTGTAGCTAGAGTTCACGAAAAAATTTTAATGTTACCTCCCGACCCCGATGTTCGAGGAATATCAGTCCCAACTTCACATCTCACGGCTTTTAAGATGGAAATTTTGGATTGCGGAGTGAGTTGACAGGTATCTTTCATCACCGTATTTCTAGTTTAGAAAATTAGTAGGGTTTACTTTTAAATAGGTCTCATAATTAGCACCATCGGCACCATAGTTGTAATTCACCTCTTTCAGTAGCAGACTGGCAGCGTTTGTTAGGTAGGCTCAGACCATCCACCCCGTCTGTTCAAAAACATCAACTGATACAATTCTGGAGTATCGACCGGACAGTCTGGTCCCACCTAAAAAACCGATACTGTCCCGGCGAAACCCGGACTTATGGACATCATTACGTTGATTCAACTCCTAATATTCGTAACATTTGTTACCTAAATACACGGCTGGGTCAGAATAGACTTCAAAAAACAACATTATAGGATAAACGGAGTTACACGACAACTAGCAGTTAATGTAAGAAAGAGTTTAATGTAAGAGCTAGATAAAGAATAACGAGTTAAGAAACACACATTATATAAAGAGCCACCACTAAACGGACAGCGAAGTACTTCATACTGAAAGAATTAAAGGACAGTTTAATCAGATGGGTAGACACTGAAATATTGCACCGTTTTTCGATGTACGCGTAGTTGCTAGTATAGTAGTATTCGGGAGCGTATGGTTGTGGGGCTAGGATACCCACACTATACATCTCAGGGATTGACTTCTTTATATGTTATTTTATGTTTCAAGGTTTTAGTCTGTATGATGAACATCGTAAGCATGAAAATCAAACAGGTACAAAATCCCAGAAAACCCTATTCAGTCGTATAGCAGGTCTCTTTAGACACCAGTGGCTCATCGGGCATTTGAGGCTGGGTTCACATTTTGACAGTGGATGATGTGGTAAACATCACACCGGCCGCCTTTACTTCCAAGGACTTTTTATGTTACTCATTTAAGGCGGGGTCCACCAGGGAGCCACAGTTTGTGTTTGTGAAAAAAAAAAAAAAAATTCAGGCACTCTGCGGATTTGAATCCAGGACATTCGAATCGGCAGGCTATACCCCTCAGCTCCCATAGAGCCATATATAGAACAGCTATATGACGTGGGTGGGTGTTGTAAAAGTAACTGCTTGTTTGTGTTGTGTCCCTTCCAGGACTGCAGTACCCAGGAATAGCACCTCCTACGGATACAAATCCGTAAGGTTATTTTAGGGCCCGCGATGGTTATGAAGTTACCGGAAGTCTAGACCAGGCAGGCATAATTACTAATTGACAGCTTTTCTCCCAAATCTAAGACAGGTGAGATACATATTTTAGTCACGATAGTGTTCCTAACAATTTGAACTGTATTGTATTTAAATATTACGTAAGCAATAACGCGATCGCCTCATTTGGGTAAACACTGGACAAGGTGTCTGTGTTTATGTCACTGAAACAATGTAAGATTAATCTGCGGTATAATTTTTTGAAATTGATAATGTGACATGCATGAACAGTGTTATTTGCTGCCGGTACATTTATTTACAGCTTATCTGTAGTTGTCTCAACGTATTCTCATATAACTTGACAACATTTGGTCTGTTGTATAGGATCTTCCGTTACGACAATGTACTGGGTAATTCACTGTCATGCTTCGCTATCTGTCACTAACATGCGCCTTGTAGAGTGTAAAAGTCCAATTTTCATGTCTTGTGACACATTTAGGTGCATGATTCCAACCTCAAATATATATGCATCAATACGTAATGTTTTCAGTTTATAGACTGATTTACAGACTAACGATTTATTTTAGATCCTAGCCGAATTCTTCTAGGTGCCCTCGTGCTGATGAGACATGTTGCCAGCCTACCACCGATAAATCTCTAGGCTCTGTCAATTGCTTATGATGATGATGAAACAGCTCATCCACTACCCAGTCCGTCTTTAGAAGTGAATTCCCCATTTAAACCGGTGTATTCCTCTTTCGCGTTTGCATTTAAAAACCTATCTAGGTTCATCTTGTTTAAAGTTTCGACATCACAGCATTCGGGACAAGCCCATATTAGCTCCGTCTGCCTCCTCAACCGCCAGAGAAAAGTCCATACTAATGGTGTCCCTTGTCATCTGGCTAACTACTCGTCTTGTCTTTCCCAACGATTCTCAAGTGGCGGCAGAAGCCCACAGACACTCACCGCTGCAACATTGTCTCCAGGCGCGGGTTTTCTGTATCTACCATTATTTCCTGCTTTTCTATAGTTTATTAAGTATTTATCTGTGTGCAAACAGTTTTTGTGGAACCCAAATCTGCCTTCCTTCAAATAATTTTGTGTGTGTGTGTAAAGTTGGTATTTTTTCTCGAAAGATATTCTTTATTTGCTTTTTGATCTGCTTACATTTTGCTGTGATAAATTGATTAATTGCAATGTTGACTTTACTAGAATTGTAGTTTGAAGCTATGTAGTACTTACCTCTATTTCATAACCATTGAAATAGTTAAAATTCAACCATTTAATAATGCCTTTAGCATTAATTTTAAGCCTAATGGTTTCCCGTCATTGCCTGTAGAAAAATGTACATAAGCGGAGTGCCTGAGTTATGGGAATGAATGAAACCCGATTAATTCGACATTTCCATTATTATACCTTACGGAACCGACATCGGGGTGGGTCGGCTGTTGCTGACGATTATTCTGATGGGGATGATTATTTTGATGATTGTTGTTGTTGTTATTGTTGTTGTTGTTCGTCTGACCGTTGTCTTGGCCAGCTATGTTGACGGATTTCATACCAAACCAGCTCATCACGCCTTGAACCGCTTTCCATTTTTGCACGCCTAGTCAGACATTACTGTTGTCGTCGCTAACCTGGTTGGCGTGTCGGAAAAGTGGCTTGTTTCTATAGTGGTTCCACAGCTGCAAGATCAGCTCCGAAACTAGAACGTCATTAGCATTTTTGCCAACGAGCCGTAGAACGAAGATTCCGTCTTGCCGGAGATACTGCTCGCAAAACTTTACCGCCATTTTCTTGTCCAGCTCCGACTTGTAACAGTCGTTGATGCGCAAGAACTTCTTGAGGTAGCGAAGGCGATGCTGCCTAAAAATCATAATGTAGATCCAGACGAGGAAGTTGAAGGTGCTAAGTGTGGCGACAAAGACTAGCCAAAACCAGATGAAAATAAAGATCTTTTCGTTGAAAAGATTGATGGGTAAAACGCACTGAACTGTGTAGTCGTGGACATTGGTGAGTTGGCGGATTTTGAAGAAGCAGTGTGTTATTCTAGGAAACCTGGGACTTTCCGACCACGTCTCCCCTCGCGCTAAATGGTCCATTACCTCAAAGCCATACACGTTAAAGTTTGTGCCAAGGAATTCGTTTAATATAAAAAGCTGACCTATAGCGTTGGCTAGATATAGAAGTTTGATGAACATATACAGAGTGACAAGGTAGTTGCCGTATCGTTTTCCCCATACGATACAGCAGTACTTGGATATCTGTTGTCGGATTCGAATGAAACAGCCGGATCTGTACTCTCGGGCGTTTTCTATCCAGCGATCCATGTACCTGACGATGTGCTTGATGGTGCGGTCCCGTTCGTCTGGTGCCACGTAGGCTGTTTCGGCGGCCAGGGTGACTATCTTGTCGAGGTTTACTCCGGCAGAGGCTGTCAAGATACGCCATAATATACACGGTACCTGAGGGCAAAATGTGAGGAATGTTAGCACTGCAGCGGTACAACTGGGAGGATCGTCATAGTGTGATGTTAACATTGCAGCAGTACAACTGGGAGGATCGTCATAGTGTAATGATAGCATTGCAGCAGTACAACCAACAGGATCGTCATAAGTGTCATGTTAGCATTGCAGCAGTACAACCAACAGGGTCGTCATAAGTGTCATGTTAGCATTGCAGCAGTACAACAGTTAGGATCGTCATAAGTGTCATGTTAGCACTGCAGCAGTACAACTGGTAGGATCGTCATAGGTGTCATGTTAACATTGCAGCGGTACAACAGTTAGGATCGTCATAAGTGTCATGTTAACATTGCAGCAGTACAACAGTTAGGATCGTCATAAGTGTCATGTTAACATTGCAGCGGTACAACAGTTAGGATCGTCATAAGTGTCATGTTAACATTGCAGCAGTACAACAGTTAGGATCGTCATAAGTGTCATGTTAACATTGCAGCGGTACAACAGTTAGGATCGTCATAAGTGTCATGTTAACATTGCAACAGTACAACAGTTAGGATCGTCATAAGTGTCATGTTAGCATTGCAGCAGTACAACTGGTAGGATCGTCATAAGTGTCATGTTAGCATTGCAGCAGTACAACAGTTAGGATCGTCATAAGTGTCATGTTAACATTGCAGCGGTACAACAGTTAGGATCGTCATAAGTGTCATGTTAACATTGCAGCAGTACAACTGGTAGGATCGTCATAAGTGTCATGTTAGCATTGCAGCAGTACAACCAACAGGATCGTCATAAGTGTCATGTTAACATTGCAGCTGTATAACCAACAGGATCGTTATAAGTGTAATGTTAGCATTGCAACAATAACATTGGGAACATGCAAGGAGAGTAATTCTAGCATCGTAACATACATATGTGAAAACGCCACAGGATTAATGTCTGCAGTGTCTGAAAATAAAACTCATAGGACAACAGAGCAACATTCAAGGAATACTTCTGTAAAACAGTGAGTGTTGAAAATGACAGTCACTACAGACTTTTCAAAATAGATGTCTAAGCAAAATCTTATGAATATTTTGGCCAAACAAGAAAATAAATGAAGAATTGAGAAGGAAAACAAACTGTTCATCACTAGCAAAAGTTATCTAAGGAAGACGACGATGCAGATTGCACTGATGTGCTTGTAATATGCCAGGTGGTACTTTGGCAAGCAATATAACAAGAGAGAGAGAGAGAGAGAGAGAGAGAGAGAGAGAGAGAGAGAGAGAGAGAGAGAGAGAGAGAGAGAAAGAGAGAGGGGGAGGAGGAGAGAGAAAGAGTCATGGACGACCTAAAGAAACCAGGAGAAGGAAAGTAGAAAAGGAAATAACAATGTAACATAAGATAGGAAGCTACTGCCAGAGTTTGAGCAGACAGGAACCAATGGAGATCACTTATGAATGAATGCTGTAAGTGTAGACAGAGACATGAAGACGATTTAGAATAGATATAACATTATTCTGCGGACCGAACCCACCCGATTGGCTCGGCAGGAAACGCACCAACCAATATGACACTACATTAAATGATGACTGGTATTTATATTTGTAGAGAAGTGTTGCATCTGATTTAAGATTTGACTAGAATTTTCCTAATTCATGCAACGAGAATAGAACTAAATTGAAGCTTGCCAAGCGTTCATTTATAATCTTATTATAGACACTGTGTCTTCTTGACTTAGTGTCTTTGCTATATAGGAATACCTCGCTAAATGCCAATGTTAACGTTTTGTTTGCACAGTGGTGTTTCAGTTTGTCGATTTATGTTCTTACCTGCTTGGGTTCTTTGGCAAATGTGAAATATAGATTTTGATATACAATGTGCAGCTATACACAGAATGACAACATGTGAGATTAGATGCATAAGAAATGTGGCGGGGAAAACAAGAAGGTACAAAGTCATCAATAAAGAACTGAGAATAATAGTAGGCACAGTATTGATGTATGATTTAATAGAACATCATAGATCAAAAGTTTGGTCTTCTGGCCAGAGTGAAACAAAATCAGCCAGCATTTAGAGCGTACTGCATTAGAACAACGGGCAACAAGGTTAGAGGCCGACCAAGAAAAATATGGGTATAGAGAGTCATAATAATAAAAAAGGTTCGTAATTCTAGATTTAGACTGAAGCCATTTCTATTAAGATCAAACATTGGCCTTGTTAAAAGTATCTAAACACACGATGACAAGAAAGCACAGCCGAGGGAAAGTAAAAGCAGAGGACAAACACAACCGAATGTTTCTACTAAACGCTTTATCAAAAGGGGAGGGGAAAGAGAAAAGGGGAAAGGAGGGGGGGGGGGGGGCTCAGAAACAACAGACAAATCAATATCTTTTTTTCCCCCTAAAGATGTTCAACCTATACTTGGATTGCTAGCCATTATGAAGTCTTAGGCTGTTCAGTGACCAATTCAGTCCATATTTTTCTAGTTCTCCCGACGCCCTCTGGTGTTTTCACTTTCTTGTTGTACGATGTGGCTACCGGAATAACCGGATTCACTCTCACAGGGTGGCCGAAAAATTCAACCGTTGTTTCTCGGTGACATTTCAGTCTTTATTTCTCAATTAATTTAACGATAAGTATTGCTCCAACAGTTCTCATAGTCACTTGATTTCTCATATGATCTTTTGTGTGTTTAGTAGCTGCCTTCCGCAAGCATCTCATTTCACATGCGATTAGTTTACTCTCATGTTCTTTTGGTAATGCCCAAGTCTGATAGTTTACTTTCATGTTCTCTGGGTAATGCCAAAGTCTGATAGTTTACTCTCATGTTCTCTGGGTAATGCCCAAGTCTGATAGTTCACTCTCATATTCTCTGGGTAATGCCAAAGTCTGATAGTTCACTCTCATGTTCTCTGGGTAATGCTCAAGTCTGATAGTTTACTCTCATGTTCGCTGGGTAATGCCCAAGTCTGATAGTTTACTTTCATGTTCTCTGGGTAATGCCAAAGTCTGATAGTTCACTCTCATGTTCTCTCGGTAATGCCCAAGTCTGATAGTTCACTCTCATTTCTCTGAGTAATGCCCAAGTCTGATAGTTCACTCTCATATTCGCTGGGTAATTCCCAAGTCTGATAGTTTACTCTCATATTCGCTGGGTAATGCCCAAGTCTGATAGTTCACTCTCATATTCGCTGGGTAATTCCCAAGTCTGATAGTTCACTCTCATATTCTCTGGGTAATGCCCAAGTCTGATAGTTCACTCTCATATTCTCTGGGTATTGCCCAAGTCTGATAGTTCACTCTCATGTTCTCTGGGTAATGCCCAAGTCTGATAGTTTACACTCATGTTCTCTGGGTAATGCCCAAGACTGATAGTTTACTCTCATGTTCTCTGGGTAATGCCCAAGTCTGATAGTTCACTCTCATATTCTCTGGGTAATGCCCAAGTCTGACTCTGGTTAATAATCTCAAGCTGGAATACGAACTGCATGTAGAATTTATCTTCGTATGTGTCTGCTTGAATAGCCGAGTATTCCAAGACTGGGGTATGTTGATCAGCAACGTTGTTGCCATGTTGAATTTTCTCTCTCTCTCTCTCTCTCTCTCTCTCTCTCTCTCTCTCTCTCTCTCTCTCTCCCTCTCTCCCTCTTCTCTCTATCTCTCTCCCTCTCCCTCTCCTCTCTATCTCTCTCTAGTTTACTATTGTATGCAAAGAAGCTAGTCAAGTATTTAAATTATTGCACTTGTTTCAAACTTCTAACTGTTTTCTTTATGTCTATGGCTCAGTGATCTCTGCCTACACGCATGATTTTTGTCTTTTTTTAATGTTGATTTCCGTGTGATATTAATGGCATGGAACCCACAAGTACAGCCAGCCGAAGGCTAAGAATGTTTTAGAAAAGACTAAACAATAAACCAGTAACAGACCGATTAAGTCAACATGGAGTCTTTATCAACAAACAAAACAACACACATATAAACAACCAATGAGGTCAACATGGAAGCGGTAATCAACATACAATATAGGATATTTCCATGCGCCGCGCACAGCAGGCCAGTAGTGTTGAGGTTGCTAGCTCTTCATTGGAAAGGTGAGAAAAGACAACAACAAAATTAATATTCCACTAATGACCAGGACACTCAGGCCAACCCCACCTCCAAGTGATGAACTGGAAAACAGACCGCCCGGTTTCAAGCTAACGGGACTGTGGCTTGCCAAGTGCGATCCATCGATCATTTTGTCTCTCCGGTCTGCTACCTAGAGGTTTACAAAACCATCCTGATATTTACAAATCCTAATCTGAATGACAGAACAACAAGGCAGATCTTAGATTCCACGTTAAACCTCCAAGATGCGCATGGTGAGTTCCTTGGTACTAAAAAAGTCAACTCTTACTCGAAGAACTAATGAGAAGTGAAACCTACAACTGTTCTAATAAATACATAAGCAGTTACCTTGAACAGCAGAGCCTGAAACAGTAGAATCATAGGCACCCATTGGTAGTATTGGATCTCCGAGTCGTAAGGTAGGTTCCAGTCTCGAGGAGGCTGGTCTTTGAAATGCACAAAGAACGTGTTCGATACCCAGCAGACGTTGTTTGTGTAGTCCACCTGAAATAATCAAATCAAAATGTTAATTCGGGAAAAGAAATAATGTGGTGAGTGTTTATGTTTTTTTTTTTTTTTTGCTGTTTTGTTATGTTGTTGTAAGCGTCTTGGGCTCCCCTCTGAAGTATTTCCAACTGGAAATGGTAAATCAGCGTGTGGGTTGCAGGGCCCTATTGTTGGGGAAAATAAAAATGGAGCCAATGCTTCCTCAAAAAAGCATTTCATAGGAGTAGACTGACTGAAGGCTTTATTCGAAGTAGGTGTCTGTCTGCCAGAGAGCCAAGGAACCACCCAACAGTGTGCATACACACAAGCAAAATCTGTGTAACGAATGTGCACGTAACACTCAGATTCTAGACCAAGACTCCAGTCCAGAGACAGAGCCAGTGTGTCAGTAATTATGAACAGCAGACGATACACTGTAAGCAATTCTAGTTTAAAAAAAAAAAGTTAAATGTAGAATAATTCAAGCAAAAGTAGCTTTTTACCAAATGAAGAATCTATTTTTGTCAACAGAGACAAGAAAGACAATTCTCAAGAGTTAAATAGACCCTACCCTCATATGTGGAAGGGAATCATAGACAGTTAGACGACAAGTGAAAAATTGTTTAGAAGAAGTTGAGATGTGGTATTATAAATACATGATGGGAATACCATAGACAGATAAAAAGAGCAACGAAAACATCACGAAAGAAACGGAGGATGCGGTTGGGGAAGAAAAATGTGTTGCCCACGTGTTAGACTGTTTAGAATCCTGGCGTACCGGACTCAGAGCGTCAGAAATGATAGGCAGTAGACGAAACGATAGGCGTGGAGCAGAAATGAAAACCAAAATACATCTCACCGGCTGGTCTTTGAAAATAATAGATAGAAGCCTTACACTTAAACTGCAAAAGGCCTAGCAAGCCGGCAGTGGATTAAAAAAATCTCGCTAGAAGAAACAATAAAAAGAGAAATCAGACTGATACTTAAAGCAACAAAAAAAAAGTACAAAACTACAAGAAGAGATAACATATAACTTGGTTTGGATATGCATCAAGACTACCACCAGATAGTGCACGGCAGAGAATCCAGTCACTAAGACACAAAGACAGCAGAACTAGAGGCTGACCGTGCAAGCCATGTATAGATGGTAGATCCGAGGCTGTAAAAACTCGCCTCTACCAAACACATATCAAGACTCGCTCCCAGCACCTCTTCAAAACCTGATGTTGAAAGGCATAACAGGATTAGAGAAGGAAAAGAAACTTTATGTTTAAGTTTAGCTCAATTAAAACCTTTCCAACCTTTTCTGATTCAGTTTTGAGCTGAGATTCGGTCTCAGTTGTAATCATAGAATGAAAGTTATCTATAAGTACCTTGCTTACGTTTTGAGCTAATCGCCATCCAGTTCAGTTTTCCCGACTGTTCTTATTCTCTTCTTACATACGATTCTGACTGCCATAAGGCCAACATCGTGACATATAATTATAAGATAGCTGACTTTCAGTCAATGTAGCAGGCTTTGTATGTACAATCATACTAACCTACCGCTCCGGATATCACGTGTTCGAATAATCTTTGAAGGTGGCATTTTTATTCCTTTGATGTGGCTTCCTGGCTAATTTCTAGAGAAATAATATGGCACACACTGAGAAAACAGGAGAACAGTATAACTAGAATGTCTTTGCATTGGAACCCACAGGGGCATAGGAATAAGGGAAGGCCAAAAAACACATGGAGACGAGAGCTGGAGAACGAGGCTAGAAAGATTGGGAGGACATGGGGAGAGCTCCATGCAATGACGGAGGATAGAACGACTTGGCGTGAGTTGGTTGAGAGCCTATGCTCCATTGGGGGATGGAAAGGCAGAAGAAGAAGAAGAATATGACACGAAGCCGCTGTAGTGCAGTAGCAAGACACTTGTGTGCCGGCTCGAAGGTCTTGGGCTCGAATCCACATCGGATCAAACTTATTTGTTTAACTGACTTTCCTCCCACGTAGCCTCAAATGGTAACATAAAATTTCCTGGGAGAAAAACCAGCTGACGTAAAGTTCACCACATCCAAAGTAAACTTGACATCAAGGTTTCCTTCAAACAGGATATTGTTGTGGGACAATCTCAAATTATAATCCATGGTTACGCGTCTGAACAGATACACTCACAGATTCATCATCAGTCATCATCAGTTCTCGTTATGCCTAGTGGCACATGAGGCTTCAAAGAGGACTTTCCATGCTTTCCTGTCCTGTGCAATCTTCAGTGCAGTTTTCCATGTCATAGATGCCGTACTCAGGTCACTTTCCATCGTTCGTCTCCATGTTGTTTTTGGGAGCCCCTGTTTTCTTTTTCCCTCTGGTGTACATGTGAGAGCTGTTTTGGCGTGTATATCAGGATTCATTCTGATAACATAGCCAAGCCATTTCCATCTTCTCTTGGTTACCATACTGTTTAAAGTTTCTTAGTTTGTTACTTGAGTAGTTTAGTGTTTGAGATTTTATCTGGCCAGAAAATTTTGATAATTCTACGTAGACATGTGTGGTGAAAGGTGGACAGCTTGTGTGCATCTTTTTTGGTCATTCTCCAGCATTCCGCTCCATAAAGAAGAACTGACAAAATGATGCTCTTGTAGAGTCGCAGTTTCTTTCCTCTACAGTAATTGTTGGATTTCCAGATTTGCCTCATCCTTCCAAAAGCAGCTCTAGCTTTGTTCAGACGTGACTGTATGTCCTCTTCGGTCCCTCCAGGCAGGGACACCACACTGCCAAGATATGTAAAATGTTATACATTTTCAAGAGTTTGGTTATTTATGGTCACTGGTTGTTGGTTTAGACTGCTTGTCATGATCTTAGTTTTCTTTGTATTTATTCTCAGTCCCACCATTTCTGCTGTGCTGTGCAGTCTGTTACTTTTTTCTTATATATGTTCATGTTTATGTGTTAGGAGTGCTATATCATCTGCAAAATCAAGGTCCTCAAACATGGTGAATGGAGTCTATCGTATGCCTCTCAATGTCATGTCTACTGTGTTCTTTAGTATCCAATCAATCACAAGGTTGAAGAGGAGAGATGACATAACACATCCCTGTCTTACACTTGTCTTTACTGGGAAAGATGTATTGTAATTTTTATACTGCAGGAAAAGTCTTTATAGAAGAGAGCAATTATGTTGACTATTTTTTTCTGGAATTCCATAAATGTCGTAAAATTTTCCATAGACTGTCTCTATGGAAGCTGTCAAAAGCTTTCTCAAAGTCGACAAAATTTATGTATATACTTCTCTGCCATTCACTGCATTGTTATAAAATGTTACGTATGGCGAAGATATGTTCAGTTGTTCCTCTGCCCTTTCTGAATCCTGCTTGTTCCACTCGTAGTCATTTATCTACTCCCTTTTCAAGCCGCATTATGATGATTTTACAAAATATTTTGCTTGGTACTGAGAGTAGAGTAATTCCCCTCCAATTATTGCAGTCTGTTAAGTCTCCTATTTTGGGGATTTGGACTATTGTTCCTTCAGTCCAGTCATAAGGCAACACTTTTGTATCCCACATATCCTTGAACAATGGTTCTAGAATGCTAGCAATTGTGTTAATTTCTACTTTGAGAAGTTCTGCTGGCAATTCATCTTTGCCTGGTGCTTTCTTTTTCTTTAAAGTGTGTATAGCTATAAGGATTTCTTGTTTGCTTGGTGGTTCAGTAATAATGTCAGTCACAGATTGAAGATCTTTTATGTATTTCTTAATGTGTTTTGTTCAAGTTCGTTATTAACAGAATCATATTACTGAGGGAAAGTGGTGGGGGGGGGGGGGGGGGGGGGAGAGGGGTGTAGGCATGGCGCGTGGGAAATAGATTATATAGTATTGTTTTTCAAACACCAGTCTCGAGGGCCAGTAAAAATTGATCAGTGGGCCAGTTTTGACCAGCGGGCCATAGTTTGCCCATCTTTGCTCTTAAACCATATTGCTTGATGCATCACTAGTATGAAAAGGGCTATTTATTTATCTTTTCGGGAGGAACCGTGGTGTAGTGACTAGACGCTGGCTTCGAACCGGAAAATCTTTAGTTCAAATACGCATATTTTAAAACAAAACCCTGAGCATGGCTTTCAGGTTCATTCAGCTAAAATTGGTACCAGGTACAGTCGTGGGAAGTAAAGGCGACCGGCGTGATGTTGACCACATTACCCATCAAGTACCATTGATCTTTAAAATAAAGGTCTGGCCCTATATGCCTAATATGCATGAAGGCGTGGACTAGGATCCTTTATAATCCTTTAACAGAGTCGAACGAACGAACGAGCGAGCGAACGAACGAACGAACGAACGAGCGAACGAGCGAACGAACGAACGAACAAACGAACAAACGAACGAACGAACGAGCGAACGAACGAACGAACGAACGAGTGAATGAACGAACGAACGAACGAGTGAACGAACGAACGAACGAACGAACGAACAAACGAACAAACGAACGAACGAACGAGCGAACGAACGAACGAACGAACGAGTGAACGAACGAACGAACGAACGAGTGAACGAACGAACGAACGAACGAACGAACGAACGAACGAATGAACGACCATTGTTTTTAAAGGTCACAAATTGGGCACCCTGGTTCCTCTTACATTCGACCCTTGCAAGCTCCCATTCTTCACACAGCAGTTGTATTTTATCAAAGAAGCATGTTATGTTTATTTGATAATATACATATTATAAATATCACACACATAAAGACGCCCACCCACTTTCTCACTCACTTACATATACATACACAGATACATACATACACACACACCCACATATACATTCACTCATACAGACATTCACACACACACATACATCCATATACTCAGACACACACATGCAATAACAGACACACACGCAGATACACAGACAAACACACACAGACATACAGAGACACAGACACACACATAGACACACACATAGACACACACACACACATACAGGTAAACACTGACAGCTACGTAGACACACACACACACATACATACACCTAGAAACAAGCAAAAACAGAGACACAACACAAACTTATATACATGCACAGATACACACACATAGCCACACACAGACACACACATAGACATACACACAGACACACACACAGAGATACCCACACAGACACCTAAACAGACAGACACACACACGCACACAGATACTTGAAGTTAAACGAGTACGTTCTCCTCCAGAAGAAAATAATCAAATAAAAGGATCAATGCTTACGTGGCTCTCCTCAAATTGTGCCGGACACCAGCAGTGTATTGGCTCGCCCACGTACTGTTTTGTGCTGACCACAATAGTGAAGATGATGAGGACGATGGTAGTGTAGAGGTGGTTCAGTCGATCGATCCAGTCGTCATCGTAGCGTCCTTTGAGACGTGCGTATGTCGCAAAACTGCCCAGCACGCTGTCAAGCCTGTTAGGACATACAAGAAAAAGGAATCAGATCATAGTAAACATGGAGACAGTTGTTGGGTGCAAGAAATAGGAATGAGATCATAGTGAACAGAGAGGCAGTTGTTGGGTGCAATAAATAGGAATGAGATCATAGTGAACATAGAGGCGGTTGTTGGATGCAATAAATAGGAATGAGATCATAGTGAACATACAGGCAATTGTTGGGTGCAAGAAATAGGAATCGGGTCATAGTGAACATACAGGCAGTTGCTGATGGGTGCAAGGGTCCTATTAACGTTTCCTAGCCCATCTACACATTGGCAGATCTTTCATTCATGCGTTCTCAGACTGTTCTACGTCAGAGAGGTGTCACGTTGTCTGGCCTACTATTACATCATGTCGATATCGCGTGTTCTATACTACCTGACAACACAGCTTTTAACGACCCCAGAACGTCTAGAACTGGCCCTAACCCAACACCCCCCTCCCCCAGCCACAGCCTAAGCATAGGCCCTACAAAGGACTCTTTTCAAAGAAAACAGTACAACGTGACACGCCTCTGACATAGACCAGACCGAGAAAGTGTGTAGATGGGCAGGGAAACGTTAATAGGACCGGTGCAAGAAAATGGAATTAAATCATAATGACCACAGAGGCAGTTGTTGATGGGTGCAAGAAATAGGAATAATATCATAATGAACATAGAGGCAGTTGTTGGGTGCAAGAAATAGGAATCAGATCACAGTAAACATAGAGGCAGTCATCGATGCCTGCAAGATATTGGAATTAGATGTTCTTCATGTGAGTTCCAGGAGTGGGGGGATAGACCCTCTGCTTCCTTACAATCATGTCATAAAAGTCAACAAAAGAGAGTTGTTTTTTTTCGAAGACAAAGTGCATCTGTCTGACAGGCGGGGAATAAGCAGTCTGCATACAAATAAGCCAGATCTGTAAAACGAATGTGCACGCAAAACTAAATTGCAGGAAAAGGTCTTAAGACCAGAATAAACAAACAACTAGAAATTTCCGTTGGAGTTTAAAGCCAGTGAATGCGAAGAAGTAGAGGAAGCAGAAGAAGAAAAAGAAGAAGGAGAAGAAGACGCCGACGACGACGGAGGAGGAGGGGGAGGAGAAGAAAGAGAAGAAGAAGAAGAAGAAGAAGAAGAAGAAGAAGAAGAAGAAGAAGAAGAAGAAGAAGAAGAAGAAGAAGAAGAAGAAGAAGAAGAAAAAGAAGAAGAAGAAGAAGAAGAGGAAAAAGAAGAAGGAGAAGAAGAAGAAAAAAGAAGAAGAAGAAGAAAAAGAAGAAGAAGAAGAATAAGAAGAATAAGAAGAAATAGAAGAAGAGGAAGAAGAAAGAAGAAATGTGATAGATCAAGGAAAGAAGAAGAAGAAGAAGAAGAAGAAGAAGAAGAAGAAGAAGAAGAAGAAGAAGAAGAAGAAGAAGAAGAAGAAGAAGAAGAAGAAGAAGAAAAAGAAAAAAAAAGAAGAAGAAGAAGATAAAAAACAAAAAGAACAAGAAAAAAAAAAAAAAAAAAAAGCGGAAAAACAAAGGGATTCAGTTTATAGTAAATAAATAAACAATTTTATGATAATGTCACGCAGAAACAGGCATTGGTACGTATAGAAAATAGGAATTCGGTCAACGTAAATATAGTCATAGATACAGGCTTATTCTTGTTTAAGCTTAACTTTGGGCATAGGCAACCTACTTTTGCACGTGAAGAGTCTTATATTTTTCATCAATTTTGCGAACAAAGAAAAAAGAACATGAGGAGGAAGGAGATTCAGAAACAGCACGAGCAAAAGACGGTAAGAGAGGAGGAATAGTAAAGTAAGGAAGAGAGGCAGGAAGAGAAGGACTAGAGGGGTAGGGAGAGAAGGAAGGAAGAAGAGGACGAGATGGGTGCGGGAAGAAGGAGGATAAGAGGGGTGGGGGGGGGGTGGGGCTGAGATGAAAGAGAGGGAATAAAGCAGGAATAAAGTGAGACAGAGGAAAAAGTTAGAGGAAGAAAAAGAGGCGATGAAGAAGAAAATGAAGAAGAACAAAAACCACTCTGCGTTGATAAACAGGTACTGTAACTACGCCACAAATGCACCTCATACGTATAAAAATTCTATTCAGAAATTCCCTGTTAATGTCGATACACAACAAATATACAGACAGGCCTTAAGAACGCAAATATGAGAACGCCTATAAAGTGGAGGTAATGAAGAAAAAGCAGAAATCTCCCATGGTTGAAAACAAAACCAAACATGAATAATACTCAGAGCTCAAAAACAAGAGGGCGCGGGAGGGGAGGGGGAGGCCTGAGAAAGGAAGGGGGCGGGAATGTATGCTGTGTTTTCACGTATGTTTATTGCAGCGTAAAAATATGAAGAGGGAAAAGAATGAGAAAAGAAAGGCATGTAGCTTATTTGTTGCGTTGACAAATACAGGGCGCTGAGCTCTGCTTAATAGAGAATAAAAAAATTTAACAGAATAACCGGTGAAGGTGGGAAACATTTTGTGATGGCAAACATAGAATATGACATTAGCCGGTAATAAAATCAGCTTGATGGTGGCGGATGGTGGGGTGGAAGATTTTCACACTCGGGCGCAGAGGGGACTTATCTTGATATGAATATTGAGCAAATAGGGCTAGACATATATTATAGACCAGTCGGCACTCGGTGGGTGATGATGTCAACATCACACTAGCCGCCTTTCTTCCCAGGACTGTACCCGGTACCTATTTAAGGCTGGGTCGACCTGTGAGCCAAGGTCATTTTTGAAAGAAAGAAAGGACAAAAAAAAAAAAAAGGCGGGCTCCATTCATGTCTGAACCAACGACCTTACGATCAGCAGGCAAACTTCTAACCGGTGCACCACTGCTGTTACCACAAGGAGTTAAAACGTTAATATCTGTGCACATTGACAGAAAATTGTTGACTGTTGTCGGATTGACGAGTGCCTGTGTGTATTTGTCCGGCCGCTGATCACTCCCTGGAGCATGAACTATTATCCCTTATCTAGCGTAGGAAGAAAATGAAAATGGAAACTGACAACTACAAGATAAACTTACACATTTGAATGAGTAAATGAAACTACTAGTTCTTGTTAAACCTCCTCCCTCAACCCCCAGCCCCCACCCCACCCAGCATCCTTTCTGGTTCACCTTTTTTTTTAATAGTAAAGCTTTCTAAAAGATTAGCGAACAGCGACGCAAAGAGACACACTCGGATGCAAATCCAACACGATCAAATCTGGGAAACCCTATTTAACCCCATAAAACCAGTTATATTGGGGCACCCGACGGTTTCGAAGTCCCTTGTAGTCCAGTTTGGGCGGGAGTTGTTAGTATTTTGCTCTGGAATAGTGTTCTCCAAAATATTTGTTTTTCCTAAATAATAATATTAATTAGTTTGCAAATTTCTAAGGAAAACTCTTTCTCAGACATTTCCATCCAAGCATGTATTTGATTCAAGTGCAACGCTGTTTAACTAATGAGGCATGAGACAACATAGCACGGGATGTACTAAAACCTAAACAGTGAAATACAATGAATGCTACTGCAGCGCTTCGTCTCTCATGAACAACGCTCCATCCAAGGATTATAAACATCTTTAACACCTAGTAAAAAAAAAAAAATGTCCTTATAGCTAATAATCGCAATTTTACAATTGGATTTGAATAGATCACATACAATTTTGTCAAAAGTCATCACGGCACAATAGTTTAGAGTTTGCGCGTACCGGTCTTGCTAGTCACACTCGCCATCGCCATTGTCTGTGTTTCTCATGCCACACTTCTCTCCACCACCACCCTCTCCCATGGTAGAATATCAAATCATAGTCTGGAAAGACAGAAAGATGACAGCAAAAACACAAGCAGCAACAGCAATCACATGTGAAGGGTAAGTGAAGTCGTTTCACAATGCAATATCTTCAAGTACGAGGTTTCGATTTCTGATTAGGCTATTTAGAGGAACACTGTTCTTGTGGCTTTCAGACAGTGGTAAGAGAGTCAAACCATGGCAAATGCTTAGACCTGAGCACTCTGTAATTCCAACGACAGCACTGGGCGCAATACAGAAAACCTCAACAGTGGAGACGGCACAATATATATACATATAAAATATAAAATTGACAACAGATTCGCAACATTTTTTGCCTCTTCCCCCAATCCGACGTTTGTCTATTATCCCAGTCCGACTGTTGCATATATTTCCCCATCGGATCTTTGCCTATTTTTCCAATCCGACTTTTGCCTATTTTCCCAGACCAACATTTTTTGGGGGTCTACTTTCACGATCCGATATTTGTTTTCCAGTTCGACTTGTGAATATTTTCCCAGTCCGTTTATTTGTGTGTGTGTGTGTGTGTGTGTGTGTGTGTGTGTGTGTGTGTGTGTGTGTGTGTGTGTGTGTGTGTGTGTGCGCGCGCGCGCATCTGTATACATATTTTCCAAATCAGAGGCTATGAAAAAAGAATAAGGTTCACTTCTATTTTTAACCATAATCATTGGTTAGACTTGAGTCAAAAAGAAAGTTTTGTTTTCTTTCTGTGGACATAAAGCAAAGAAAATTACTGGAGATCTTGTTAACAATTGGTAAGGCTGGTGGAAAGAGAGTAAGAGGAAGCCAAACAGATAATTACCTGGATAGTTTGACTACACGAATGGGGTCAGTCAAGAACATCCATGATTGTAGTGATCGTAAGAGATGGTGAAATATAATAACCTACGCTTACCATCATAGTAAAGTAAAGGGCCCTTTTTTGGGCCTTGAAAGGTATTTTATAGACCATCGACACTCGGTCGATGATGTGCTCAACATCACGGCAGCCACTTTTACTTCCCATGATTTTATCTGTCACCCATTTAAGGCTGGGTCGACTTGAGAGCCACGCATGTTGTTTCACAAAGTCCGGCTCACTCGGGATCTGAACCCACGACCTTCCGATCCGCTACACCACAACTACTCCGACCAGCATGGTCTATGATGATTATGATGAAGATTTGGGTCAGTCGCTTGGTGCAGCATTCTTTAAATTATGCTGGATTCAATTTCGTCAGCCATTCCCTGTAAGAAAATGACAGTCGGCCTATCTCCCGCATTGGTCCCAACCGTAAAATATATATTAATAAAGTAATATCTTTCAAAACAGACGCTGCCCAAACTCACAGTGGAAATACTGACAGCAAACTCCCGGGACGGCGGTTCAAAGGTTAACGGAAGATTGGATTGCTGGCGGGAGGCGTGTTTCTAATTATCGACCACATATGTTATGTGCAAGCTGCAGGCAATGAGTTGGGCAGAGCTGTGAAAATGGGAGAAGAACTAATCAGACATACGCCAACTCTAGCGGGATAAAAGGTGCCCTTTGGAGGGAAGCTGGCATTTACGTAACACTGAAAGTGGGATTGCGGGCGTCCGGTAGAATGCTGAATGAAAGAAACAGTTACTAGCTCAGCGAGGTAATTCTTTCTCTGGAATTCTCAAACGGTAGAAGCAATTACAAGTCTGTATATGAATATAGAGGAGAAATAGAGATAGCCGAGACATTTAGAACTGACGTGGCTGAGCTGCGACAGATAGTAAAAAACCATCTGAAATTTCCGCTTTTTTCTTCACCAACTCAAAACTTTATACGAATTTACATATTTGCGTTCTTATGGCCTGTGTGTCTGTCTATTGACTGCATGCCTACATCTTTGACCGCTGTCGCTCTGAACAATTACTTGTTTCTAGCCAGGTTTATCTGATGTAAATATCTCATTCTTGGATCTGGAGTTCAAAGAGTCGGTCGCCCAGCGACTGAGTTGGTGCGACACTGTGAGCACAGTTTTTTGACGTGGATATGTTTTCTGTTGTACCTGAGGCGTATTGTTGACTATACTAAAGTGGCGGGTGGTCGATTGCGTTCAGAACAGCACTTTTGTGGGCGCAGTACTGGCTTTCACGATTGACCGTTTGCGTCAGTAGTAATCTGCTGTTCTAACGTGCGACCATTAGTGTTGGTACATCTGAGAGCCACCTTACGCATATTGACATTGCGTATGCAACTTTCAGAATTTTGCTATGACTGACACGCATTTTACTAGTAAGATTATACAGGGAATTCTGATTTGGTGTCTAACGTTTTGCTAAAAAAATATAGCCCCGTATTGAGTCAGATATAACAGATACAAATTGGTTAGATCAGAGGTTTTCAAGCAGCTAAGACCTTATGATTAATCCCAGATATTTCTAAGACATTTCTCAAACGATTCTCTCAATATTTCCAGATATTTCTCAGACAACTATCTGATTGTTCCCAGATATTTCTCAGACAATTCTCTGATTATTGCCAGATATTTCCCAGGGCGTCTAAGGGCGTGCTCAGGCAAATGGCGCTGCAGCCAGCAGTGTTAAGTTTGGCTAGCTTTTCTTCGGAGAGGCAATGATTGAAATTCAAGTAGTCTGCCAATGACCCGTAGAGCACGTAGGTCAACCCCACCTTCTCTTTTTTTGTTAGTGTTTACAAAAATTATTTATTTTATGACAAAATATTAATTTTATAATTTACAATCCTTCTCTGTCTTTTGGCTTGTACTTTTTCAATTCTATCTTCTTTTCATGACGCTGTCTTCTTCTAAATGCCAGTCGTGTAGTATGAAACAGCTGCGCCAGTTCTGGAACTGTTGGTCCATCTGGTCTATTTTTCAGTTTTTCATCCAGCAAATATTGGACTTTCAGCACAGAGTCGCCCTTCTCTAGTTCTGTTTTTGCACGGGGAAGTGGTTGTGTATATTCATAAGGAAACTCTGGCTCTGGATGCCAGCACAGGATGGTATTTTTGTCTGGTGAGAGGCAAACACTCGGTGCTCTAAAACTGTGAACCTGTTTAGGATAGCATAGGTCTGTAGCAAGGACACGCACACCGCCATGTTGTTTACTGGTCGTTTGCACGCCGGAAAACGTAAAAAAACTAGGTAATGTCTCGCCTGGATGGAAACAAGCACCAACCAGGTCAGATTTTTGCATGCCCCATCAAGCGATGGGCCTAGCAAGCCGGCGATGGTGTATTTGATTGCTACTACTCAAGAAACATGGAATTATTGTATTGCTATTACTCAAGAAACATGGGATTATTGTAAGAAAGACAGACTCATTAAAAAGAAAGCTGGAATGAGAGTATGTCTGAAATATTATGACAAAGTATGAAATGATTCTGCCATCTAATAAGAATGCAGCCAAACCAGACTGGATATGAGACTTTTTACAACAGAATTTCTGAAAGAAAGGCGAGAGGAAGACCGAGAAATATATGGATAGATTGTGTAACTAAAACTTGCAAAAAGATGAAAGCTTTCTCAATTTGCTCTGTGAGTCAGTGACAATCACTGCATGTGTGTACAGCTGATTCTCAAGCCAGATGAAAGCAGAAGTGACTGCCTCCACCTCCATTCTCAAACTAGACGTTGTCATATCATATGCCAGGCTTTGTTGCAATAAACGACGTACATTCGCCTTTAATATAAACCACCACGCACTTCGTCTGCCCCTTAACACAGAGCCATCTGTATAGATAATCACATCACTTGGGCAGAAATTATCATTAAACATTTGTTGAACTTCTGATTCTGCAGCACCAGCTGGCCAGTCCCTGTACTCACGACTCAAAGTGATAAGAACCCTACACAAGTCTAGAACTTACTCAGACACTTTGACCCACTCCTCACCTCACTCAAATGTATCAAGACTGCACACAAGTCTGATTGTGTCTTCAGCTTGCGCCATCCAAGACCTTCCTCTTTTCAGTCTGTGACTCTTAGATCTACCAAGGGCTTCATACAGGAGGTGCTTCTTGTCTGCAGGTACTCTGAGATATGACTTTACATGCAGAACTTTGATTGAGCCTATCTCTAATAGTAGGCAGTGCAAGTATATTGATAAGATCAAGAAAATGTTCAGTATTTTTAAAACCTGTTTTACCACAAGGACTGTACAGGGAGAAGGAAAGTAATAATGCCACAACTGGAATCGATCCAGTATCAATGTCACTGCAAGCAAGAGCACTAACTTTTACAATTAGGTGGCAGTTAATAACAGTGTTTATATCATGACATACATGCACAGACGCACGCGCGCTTCCACAATGGCACACTGGCTGGAGATGGTGAGATCTGTTTCCAGTTGTGTCGGCTTGATAGCTCGGGTAAAAAATGTTTTTCTGGTTTTGTTGTTGTTTTGTGTTTACACAACCTGTGCCTATGCGCACAATATTGATATAAGAAAATGAACAAAGAAAGACAGTAAGCGAGAAAAGGAATCGATTAAGAACAGAAAACAATGACAGTTCTTGTACACTGTGTGTGTAGGTGTGTGTGTTTCTGCGTGGTTTGGTATTGACGTATTATGCTGCAGAGTAGCGACTGGCCAACCGGAGGGCTTTCATGCTGGAGACCGGGATTCGATCCTCGGTAAGGTTTGAGATTTTTTTTTTTTTTTTACCTGTCAGGGGCAAAACAAAATCCTCATCTGCACAGTTGTGGCGACAGCACTAGCCACGCGGCCTTAAATCCCAAGGCTCAAAAGACCCCCCCCCCCACTTGCCTTCAACGCACAAGTCGTATATAAAGGCAGTAATTGGCAGTTTATGCGGTAATACTACCCAGTAAAGCGTTTCGTCCCTTTTACGACGACATTTTTTGTTATTTGAAGCCCCACCCTGGCTTTTGCCAGGGGCCGCAATATAGGCAGGCCATAAATATGGCCAATTGTCTGAACGCGGTTTCTGGGACCTTTCCACGGCGATCCTCGTCCGCATGGTGGCACTTTGTGTCATCGGGTGTTTATCGCTTGTGTGATGTCCTAGTGGGGTAGAAAGTCAGTCAGTCAGTTTATGCGGCAACCGTATTGTATGAAGGGGGTACATCAGGAAGGGATAGAGAATGAAGCAAGCAATGAGTCCCATACCTCCTCTGGGCACAATATAACACTATCGTCTGGAAAGACAGAAAGGTGCAAATCGAATTATGCGGCGATGCTCGCAACACTGACAGAAAATATAACAATGGAGACTATGATGGAGATAGTGAAGTAATTATGAATATAGAACTGTGACCGTTCTTGTCATATGTTCTTGCTCCTAATGTGGGTTGTGGTGTAATTTGACGCGTACCTATATGTTATCGCTCGCCGCGGATCGGAAAGTCGTGGGTTCGCCCCCTGGCGGAGCCGGACTTTTTTCAAAAATGACCTTGGCTCCCAGGTCGATCCAGCCTTGAGTGGGCACCGGGTGCAGTCCCTGGAAGTAGAGGCGGCCGTCGTGATGCTGACCACATACCCATCCTGTGCCGATTGGTCTATAAAAATATAGGTCTAGCCCTATATGCCCTGTACGCCTGATGGCGTGGAAAAGAAAAGGGTCCTTTACTTTTACTTTTACTATATGCTATTCGCCAGCTTAGACTTTGATAACGCGCTTCGCAATGCCAGGGTGCGAGTTCGATCCCAGCTGCGGATGATTTGTTTTGCATTTGTTTCTAAAGTGGTACCGACAGCTGACCGTTACATAGCAATGGCAAACTACAAAACGTAAAATATGTCTAGAAAAACTACAACAGTAAACAAATGCTACGGTTGGTTCGTCCTGTAAAAAAGGATACGCAACTAACTTTTATACTCTATACCGATTCGAGAAATGAACAGAGAATTATAGTAAACATAATATGGAAACGACGACCCCAACAAGGAGCTGTGACCATTCTAATTACAGATAATGCTTCAACAGCTCTGGCAAACAAAGTATTATTTAATTTAATCACGCTGTAAATTCAGTAAATTGAATGAAAGTCAAAGTCGGGAGGGGTAACTTTTTGTACCGTGTTGAACTGTATAGTTCGTACGACTAGCTGCCTGTTGATGGTGTCGCTAAAAAGCACGAGCTTCGTAGCTCCAGCGACGATTTCAAGTGATCTTCTTAAAACCGGCACTCGTATACTCTATTTCAGTAGAAAGGATTCATGTATTTCATTCACTACTTAGTTATGTTACTCTAGTGTGCAACTACAGAGTCACCTTAATTATGTTACTATAGTGTGTAACTACAGATCACCTTACTTAATAATATTACTCTAGTGTGCAAAGGTTCACCTTACTTATGTTACTGTAGTGTGTAACAAACCAGGTACAGTAAAATGTGCTAGAAAATAAACTGTGCAATTTATTATGTGTTTTTGTGTCTGTTAAAAAATGAAGTTTTCGTGTTTTTATGATAAAAACACGCGTTTTCAATGTCAGGATAAACAGCAGAAAAACAAAAGTAATAGTTTTTACAAAGAAAAGGGAAACTGCAAAATGTTGCATCAGAGTTAATGGGACAAACCTTAAGCAAGGTAATACGTTCAAGTACTTAGGATAAAAGTAAACAAGCAGATAGAAGATGTACCAACGAAGTTAAACTTAGAATAGCTTAAGCAACACAGCTTTTTACCAAATGAAGAATCACATACTCCTTTTTTGTGTTGAGACAAGTAAGAAAATACTCAAGAGCTAAATAAAACCTTTGCTGATACACGGAAGTGAATCACGGACATTTGGACGAGCAGTGGAAACAAATTTTTGGGAAGGGCTGGCATGTTGTTTTATAGACAAATGAGGAGAACAACCTAGGCAAATTAAAATGAGTAATGAAGATGTCACGAAGATAATTGATTGCCAACATTGAGGCGATACAATCTATATTATTGGATCATGTCACAAGAAGGGAGAAACCAGGAGTACATCGCGACGATGTCAAAGTAGGAGAAGGAGGAGAAGCAGAGGAAGACAGGGAGAAAATGCTGGGCAGTCTAAAAACATGGTATGGGAGATAATCTGTGTGGGAACTAATTAAAAGTACACGAGACAGAAGGATGTGGATAGACATAACCACCAACGCAACACAGCATGAATTGTAACAACAACAACAACAACAACAAGAACAAAAGAAGATAAAAGTACACGTACTTTACACAAAACCATCACTTAACAGAAACAACAATTTTCAAAGGTTAACAAATTAGACGAGAAGCGCAGAATAAATACAGAAAAATAACAACAATGGAGTAAACCCGGGTAACAGTGTCACTTCTTTACGTTTTAGGTTGTATACTCCAGCAGAAAGTTCTGGTTGTAAGTTTACTTCTGGACTTAAGTTCTGTTACACAACTTGAGTGTGCTGCACATCCGTTTTATGATCTCACTCCTTTGTATGCAAACTGTTGGTTCCTTGCCTGTCAGGTAGATGCACTCCGACTTCAAAGGAAGCTTTCAATTAATCGACTCTTACGACATGCTTGTTGGGGTGGCAGTGGGTCTATTTTTGTCCTCCTCCCCCCCCCCCCCCACTGTGGGGCCTCAGAACTCACACTGGGAACACGGTAAACTAAAAAAAAAGGAAGTACAAGTGTTCGATCTTGGGGAACGAGGCATTGGAACAAACTCTCACCCTTCGCCAGTAATAGCCATTCCGGTAATTTCTTCATACTTCCCTAACTGCTCATCGTCTTCTGCTTCTCCCGAAGGAACTGAGTGTCCACCTTTGGCAACTCCGGACTCGCCATGAGCTGCTCCATCTCCTCCGTGCTGCTGGTGACCTCCATGACCATGACCGTGCCCGTGCTGGTGGCGGTGATGCATGCGATTGCGCATGCCGTGACCATGCCTCCTAGTGTGTCGCTGGGTGGACCTGTTGTGGTGGGCCTTGCTGGGATGGTGGGCGTGACGGGCGTGCTGCATGTTGCTCTTTTAGTTCTTTCGCTGTTTCTGCGAATTCTTTTTTAAAAAGAATACGCAGATTTCCTTAGACACCCACATCCATATTTAGACATTGCTGTTATTCAAGTCAAAGCGTC